TGCAGCTAACAGGAAGGGGCAAGCAGACTCATACCATATTTGGAAATGGGACTATTTGACTCCAGAAATGAAGAGGGCGCTATTTTACATTGTCTCCTGTTATTATTATATTTTAAATCTGATATTTCTTAGTATGTTTTTAAAGAGTATAAATTCTCTAATAAAGCATCTTATTTTCTTCATCTTCTAAGGGTGCAGAGCTAATTAAAGGACATAAACAAAACCTTAAAGTCATCCAGTTCCTCTCAATGCCTCTCAATAAAAACATGAAGTTCATTTCTGGACAGTTTGCTCAACTTTACTGAAAACACTGACTATATGTTGAAAAAAAGCTCACAGAGACTCTAATTGCTTTAGTAGAGCTTGTTATTTTACTATAAGTAGCAGTTTGGTTACAATATCTGTTAACAGGCATCATATTGTGACTTTCTATGATTATTATGGAAATATAATATCAGAGGTTTTTTATTTTTTGGTCAGCTTTTTTGCGTTTGTTTTTCTCCTAGTGTAACTTGTGTTTTTGGCAGAGCGTAGTGTTAAAATGCATCAGCGCCTCCTACGGTCACAGCTGTGGCGTAACACCTGATTTGGATCTTTGTGACCTCTGACCCTCAGCTGTGTCTCCTCCTCCAGGCTGATTGAGTCCAGTCTGGGCAGCGTCGCCACTAAGCTGAACTTCTTCATCCATAACCTGGCCCAGATGAAGTTCGCCTCGTCGGAGGACCGACCCGCGCTGTCCTTCGCTCCCCGGATCCACACGGCGAGGAGCGACGGCGTCATCAAGAACCTCTACATCTGCAGACACATCCGCTCCGCCAACAAGGGCTACGTGAGTACCGAGCCGCTGGGTCAGGACGCTGCGGGTCCGACCGCCAGGCACCGACCGCCAGGCACCGACCGCCAGGCACCGACTCACTCTAAGCTAGTTTTATTTTGTTGTGACTTTGTGTTTAATTCAGTTAGTTTTGATTAGTTTTTAGATTGTGTTTGTTAGTATTCATTAGTTCGTACTGGTTAAATATTGTTTAGTTTTTATTTGTTATAGTTATGCCCGTCATGATAATAAACGTTACTGGATCATAAATTGTGATAACTTTTTATTTGTTGTTGTGAGAACATTTTCCAGTAATATGATAGTAATGGTATAATAATTAAAAAACACTTTATCAAAGGTCAATAAAATTTAATCTATTGAACATTTAACAGTGGAACTGGAAGACATTTTAAATATGTAAAATAAATAAAACAACAAATAAAATGAATCATGATGTCCGTCACCGCCGCCTGTCTCTCTCTGGGCCTCCAGGCGTTTGTGGTGAAGGTGGAGCGTGACGCTCAGCAGGAGGTGCAGCTGGTTCAGAGGACCTTCGAGGAGTTCCAGGAACTTCACAGCAAACTGCGGCTCGTCTTCCCCTCCTCCAAGCTGCCCAGGTACCCTCCGGGCCCCGCCCGCCCCGCTTACCCAGCTGGGTTAAAGGTTCTAACTGTCATCTTGGCCCCGCCCAGTTTCCCCAGCCGCTTTGTGATTGGCCGTTCCCGAAGCGAGGCGACGGCGGACCGGAGGAAGGATGAGCTGAACGGCTACGTGTGGCACCTGATCCACGCGGCGCCGGAGGTGGCTCAGGTGGGTCGGGGCTGCAGTCCAGGCTGCTGTAGTAATGCTTCACATAATTTAATATTTCAGCAAAATCTTTTATATTTGGATCATAACTAACACTGAAACAATAAATGGATCTAAAGATGTTAACCATGATGATGGTTAACAGACTGGTTTCTGCTTTTGCATTTTATTACTTCAAATTTGTATGAATATTGTAACCAAAGTCAAAAACATGTGACAGAAATTTCATCCAAGTCGTGAAAATGGGTTAGATTTTATAGCAACAGTTGATTTAAAAGGCTCAGAAAATGGCAGCCATCTTTAAAAATGGCTGTCATCCTGAAATTGGAGTGACGTTTATGCTCTTTCACACCTGAAGGATTTTACAGAAACTTGCTGCGGTGTGAAGAATGTGGCTCCATGTCAGAGTGGGTGTGAGCGTCCTATCAGGACGCAGCAGATGTTCTGTTTATCTGTGGAGGTTCTGCAGGGTTCTGATGGACCTGTCAGCCGGATCTCTGCTGTCACACATGATGTGTGTGTGTTTTCAGTGTGATCTGGTCTACACCTTCTTCCACCCTCTGTCCAGAGACGAACGAACCGCAGGAGGCAGCAGCAAACCTGCAGGTACGTCCCCTTGCAGCTCCAGGATTGGACGGACACCTGTGGTCACCATGGTAACAGAGACTTCCTGCTGTGTGTGCATTGCAGAGGTGTCATGGTCTCCAGCTGCAGGAACGGCGCTCGGAGAGGTCAAGCTGTCCATTTCCTACAAGAACGATAAGCTGTTCATCATGGTGATCCACATCAGAGGCCTGGTCAGTACCAAACCCAGGTTCTGATTTCAGGTTCTGTTGGGTTCTGATGAAGACTTTCAGTGTCGAGTCCAGCAAAGTTGGGCCCATAGGAATGATTTTAACTGATATTCTGTGGATTTTTCAAGACGGCCACCATGTTTGTCATGATAAAATTGTTAATTAATTAGTTAATTTTTGGACTAAGATCTCAATTCCATGAATGTGTTTGGTGTCAAATCTCAATAGGAATCATTTACGTTTTCTTGATCCTTTAGCTGATTAACATTTTCAATGTAAAATTGGCTGAACTTGTTGCCAGGTTGAGCAAAGAATGAGGTTGACTCACCACTAATTCACTAAACAACAGACCAACCTCACCAACGCTAAACTACTAAAACCTGTACAGTTAAATAAAATTAGCATGAAGTAGTACTGAACTGCTAAACACATAGAATTTTGTGCAAGTTAATGGTGTACAGATAAACGTAAGAAATAACTGCAACTTAACACTAAAGCACTAAACGTAAAATATTTGGTACAAGCTAACACCAACCAGCAAAAGATGACAGAATTTGCACTAGCTACTAATAAACATAGGAAAAAAATTGGTAGAGGTGTTCCTGGCCCCTGATTGGCTGCAGGCCTGAAACCTGGACTGAACCGGCCTTGTTCTGGTGCATCTCTGTGCAGCAGCCCCTCCAGGACGGCACCGACCCGGACCCATACGTGAAGCTCTACTTGCTGCCAGACCCCCAGAAGACGGGCAAGAGGAAGACCAAGGCAGCGCGGCGCACCTGTAACCCCACCTACAACGAGATGGTGAGGCTCACTTCCTGTCCCACCCAGAGGACCGTCAGGAACCAGTAGCATCAACCTGGCTGTGTGTGTGTGTGTGTGTGTGTGTGTGTGTGTGTGTGTGTGTGTGTGTGTGTGTGTGTGTGTGTGTGTGTGTGCGTCCCCAGCTGGTGTACGATCGGATCCCGCGGGGGGACCTGGACCAGAGGGTGATCCACCTGAGGGTTCTGAGCGACGGATCCTTCTGGGAGAACACGCTGCTGGGGGAGACCTTCATCTCCCTGACCAGGCTGGTCCCGGATCAGAACTGGGTCGACTGGCACCGCCTGGATCCGACCGGCTCAGACTCCGCCCACTGACAGACGGGAAGCAAAGGGATGTCCTTTCAAAATAAAAGCTGCTGTAGATTTGAGGACTGTGGCAGTTTTCTATCAAGAACATTTGAGATGATTTTTATGTCAGTTTGAAGCTGGACTACAATGATGGATCTGCTGCTGAGTGGTTCTGGTTCTGCTCAGAACCGTCGAATAATGAGCTGGACTTTTAACAGAGAACATGCAGGAACTGGGAGCATTTCTCTAGGGAACAAGCTGGTGAATGACTGAATTACTGGACCGTTTTATGGCCTTCTGGGACAGTTTCTCTGTTTTAGCGCTGTAGACCAGATGAATGTGGCAGCTGCAGGACTGGGTCCAGCAGGCGACAGAGTGTGATTGGGCGTTCCTCAGCTCTGAGCTCTGATTGGCTGAAGCTGCCAAACAAGCTCTGGATAAAAAAGCTCTGCTTGCAGCTGTGGGTTTCCCAGCTCCAAGCACACAGGGAGCACAGTGAGGCCCGGCGTGGGTCCTGCAGGCCCGGAGGCCCGGCGTCCTGCATGTTTTAGTCTCTCCCTGGTTTAAGGCACCTGGACCCAATGATGGCTCATTAGAGGCCTAAGAACTCTGAACTCTGACCTGCTGGAAAGGTTGTTAGTACCTGGGAGAGACTCAGGCAAGCAGGACGCCGGGGCTCCGGGACGCCGGGGCTCCGGGACGCCGGGCGGGCCTCTGGGCCTCCGGGACGCCGGGGCTCCGGGACGCCGGGCCTCCGGGATGCCGGGCCTCTGGGCCTCCGGGACGCCGGGCCTCCGGGACGCCGGGCCTGTGGGACGCCGGGCCTGTGGGACGCCGGGGCTCCGGGACGCCGAGCCTCCGGGATGCCGGGCCTCTGGGCCTCCGGGACGCCGGGCCTCCGGGGCTCTGGGACGCCGGGCCTCCGGGGCTCTGGGGCTCTGGGACGCCGGGCCTCTGGGACCCACTCTGGGTTCTCCTGAGGTGGGCGGTTGTTGGGCCTGTTACCATGACAACTGAAGCTGTCAGTGTAACCATGTGACCCTCCATATACATGAGACAAACCTTTAGAATGAATTGTGCCCTTGGTTTGATAAAGAAGAACCTGGTACAGGTGAGAGCAGTGAGTCTCGATCAGTAGAAGCCCCGCCCACCTGAGCAGCTTCCGGCCGCAGCTTCATCAAACCGAACCTTGAACATAAAAATGTGAGAAGTTTCTTTACCTGGATTTTTTTATTATTTGCACTAAGAACAATAAACTTGAAGTGAAAAATGCATCTTGGTTTGGTTTTTTTTTCCTGATTTATCTGGGAATGTATTCAGTCATAAATGTTGAATCACAGATCAGAGTCCGGTCCAGTCTGGAGCAGGAAGTAACGTTTACCCGAACAGAACCTTTTAACCGGGTTCAGCCTCCTACTTGTACCTCTAACATTAAACCTGTTACCTTTGACCTTTATGGGGTCCTCGCGCTTGTCAGCACGTGGCACTCACACCTTCCAGCGCTTTATGCAAAGCAACGCGCGGATACATCTGCCGCGCGGCTGCGCGCCGCGCCTGCCGCGCCTGCCGCTTACCGGAAAAGGAAGGGACGGTCCGCGGACTTTCTGATGAAATCTCTCGCCGGAGAGGCAGACAGACAAATCAGCTTCCCGGCGGCTTCACCTCCCTGGTGGACGGACATCGAGCAGTATTACCGACCGGAGGACAGAAGTGACATCTACAGCGGGTGAAGGTGTTCATCTGAGCGAGTTTTAAAGGGTTCCTCCGCGGAGAACAAACTGTCAGTTAGCTGCTTGTGCTAAGCTAGCGTGCTACGTAGCTTAGCGTGCTAACTAGCCTAACCTCCCGCGGCTCTCCGCAGTCGGAACCGGACAACATGGATCTCTTCCGCTGCTTAGACGGAGACCAGTCGCCGTTTCACGGATCCAACATGTCCTGCCTGGCTCTGTATTTCAACTCTGGTTCCACACGGAAGAAGTCCCAGCACCATTTCGAGTCTGACGCCGGTTTTCTGGAGGATATTTCCTGGTTTCCGCGCAGCGTTGCTGGTTTCTAAGTGTTTCACAGCTGTCAGATTAGCAGCTGGCCTGTTTACTCCCCTTTAACGAAACAACATGTTCAGAAACTTTTACACTGAAGGACGTCTATCTGACGGCCAGAGCGCGCCTTCATCTGCCCCTTTCGGCGTCGCCTCGGTGGGATTTGACAGCCAGGAAAGCTCGTGGATCGGCCTCCTGTCGAGGCCCGCGCTGTCGCTACTGCGAAAGGTTCGGCGCTGGAGCGCGGCTCCCGCGGAGCTCAGCAACAGTTTTATCGGCGAAGAAAGGGAGATTTTACGGCAGCTGAATGAAATAATCCCGCATCATCTCAGCTTCACGCAGTGTCCACATGACGGAGCAGGCGGCCTGCTGGAGCCGGGGTTCGCCGGCTCTGTGCCCTGGCTGAGCGCGGTGCCGGTGCGGCATGTCGGGACGGAGCTCCAGCCGCAGGTCGGGTACCTCTCCTCGGTCCGGGCGCTGCTGGGCTCCCAGGAGGCCGCTGGAGGGAAGGCCTGGGCGGTGAGCCCCGCCGGAAAGAGCGGCCGTGGTGGGGCAGCTTTCTGTGGAGGGGGGACGTCCAACCGGAGCGGGCAGAGTCCCAAACAAACCGCCCACCTGACCCAGAAAGCTCTGGACCCCCCCAGCAGCTCAACAATGCAGACACAGTCCAGAACATGGCGGCTCGGCCTGGACCCGAACAAGACCAGGGCTACCACAGCCTGGAGGAGGAGCTGACCCAGCGGGCCACCAGGAGCCCTCCAGAAGAGCAGCAGCCTCAGATGGAGCCGGTACCAGAAGAACCAGAACCAGGGGCAGAGGAGGTTCTTTCAACGCCTCAGTGTGGAAACAAATCCATCGCCTTCATCATGGGGCTGCCCTGCAGTGACGACGACAGCAGCAGCCTGTCTGAGTCTGGCTCTGATGATGACGACGGGTTTGACAGCGAAGGTTCCTCAGATCTAACCTCTGATGAAGATGAGGATGATGAGGCGTCGGACTCGGACAGCGAACCCGACCAGGACTCGGAGCGTCTCTGGAGCTCCTTTAGCCGGAGCGTCGACCCCTACAACCCGCAGAGCTTCACCGCTTCGCTGCACACCGGCCGCTGCCCTCCTGCTGACCCCGGCGCCGCCCTCCCTGACCCCGTGCCCTTCCATGCTGCCTCCTCTCCCCCCTCCAGCCAGGACACCTGGGACGACTCGGCGTCGGCCAGCGAGGCGGATGAGGCGGAGAGCCTCCGCCTGCTGCGCTCCTTCAGCAGCTCCTTGGACCCCTACAGCCCCCTGAACTTCCAGGCTCCGCTCAGGACTCAAGGGCCCGCCGGGCCCCCCTCCAGAACCAGGAGCAGAAGCAGCCCACAGACCGCCCACCAGAACCTGGCGGCGCCACCCGAGTACAGGAGGGAGGAGGCCGAGGACAGGCTGGACAGCGGCTTCGCTGAGGCCGCTGCCTCCAACCGGAGCACCAAGAAGGTCGGTTACCTCACTTCCTGCTTGCTGGGTTCAGAACCAGAACCTCTTTTAGCAGAACACTGCTGGGGGAACCCAGAAGGTTTCAGTTTGGTGTCCAGCAGGAATTGAGCGATAAATCGGGCCAATTTCCTTCATTTTGTGGGATCGGCTGATGTTTACACACCCTCCAACCTTCAGGTCTAAAACTAGCCGCTGTTCTCTTTAGAGAACCGCACCGTTTAGGAACTTCCTTGCTACGTTTTGCAACATTTCAGACAAAACAGATCCGAATCGGCAGACAGTTTCTAAAGATCGGCCAGAAAACTGAAATCTGTGCAACTCTGGTGGGCGAAGTTTTCACATGGAGGGCCAGAATTAAAACTCTCAGGCCACAAGTCGTGTTTTCAGTTACAATCATTTTACGGTAAATGTGTAGAAACGTCACAGTTCAGGGACATTTCCTCATTTTATTTCTAATTGGACCTGGCCCAACTTTACCAGAACTGGGTTAAAATGTCTCTGGCTACAGTTCTGTACCTCACAGCCACACAGAAGGTTCTGAAGGTGTCATCAGAACCTTCAGGTTCAGCAGAGGTCCAGACTATTGGGTTAGAATTACAGGTTAAAGGTTCTGGTTCGCGGTGTTCTGACCTCTAATGGGTTCAGCTTCATGTTTTGGCCCAGAATGTTTCGGCGATGCTGCAGGGAGGCGGAGCGGACCAGAATCGGATCAGTTGTGGTTCTGTTCTGTAGAGACCCGTCAGCCTGAATGATTCATTGATTTGTCTTCAGCTGGTTCTGGATGTGATCCATTCAGTGACCTCTGACCCTGCCCCCACAGGTCCGGTTCTGTGACGAGGTGGAGGAGTTCTTCGCCAGCTGCGGTGAGGAGGAGGACCGGCGCGGCCCGTGGGAGGAGCTGGCCCGGGACCGCTGCCGGTTCCGCCGCCGCTGCCAGGAAGTGGAGCGCAGCATCGGGTTCTGCCTGGCGCCAGCGCACCGCCACCGGGTCTACCAGGGACTCTCGGCCCCCTCTGACTCCTGACCCGGGCCCGGTTCCGACCCGGTTCCGGAGCGCAGGTCGGACCTCGAATAGCTGCTGCTTTCACCAAATCACTACACAGCCAGTCAGTGGCCTGGCATTGAGCCCCGCCACCTGCTGGTTCTGGTTCCGCTGGTTCTGCTCTGACCAGCAGGTCCAACGTTTGAAGGAATATTTTGACTTTATTAAAAATCAGTCTGTTGCCAATTAAAAGTTTCTTTTAAGGATTCGGGCTCCAATTAAAGCCTGAGCAGGTGTGTTAACGAGCTGCTTAACGAGAAGCAGAACCAGTTGGCCCATTAAAACCAAAGAAGAAGAGTCCGTGTTCTGGTGCTGCTCGGCATCGCTGAGGTGTTAAATGTTCAGCAGGAGGCGCTCATCGTTCAGACAGATCCTGTCTGGTTCTGATCCAGTCCGGTTCTGGTCTTGGGTCCGGTCTGGTTCTGGTTCTGGTTCTGGTTCTGGTTCAGTCCAGTTCTGGTCTTGGGTCCGGTCTGGTTCTGGTTCAGTCCGGTTCTGGTCTTGGGTCCGGTCTGGTTCTGGTTCTGGTCTTGTTCCTGCTCTCCAAGCGGGCCTGAAGGCAGCAGAACCTGCACTATGGGGTTAGTTTCCATAGCAACCACTAGCCGCTGCCTTCAGGGTCTGAGAGAGTGGGAATTCTGAGGTTCTAACAATTTTAATTCAAACTGAATTTATTTCTCAGTTCTGAATCCCAAATGTATTCTAATCAGTTTAAACGCCAGACTCACGAGAACCAGTTTCTGACTGGTTCTGACTGGTTCTGGAGGCTCGTCTGATGATCGGTTTGATTATTAAAATCCACAGGTGTTTTGTTGTTAAATCACCTTTATTTTTAGAGCGACTGGATCTGCTGGACACTGAGAGTTGAGTCACCTGCAGTGGTCTCCTGGTGCATTCACTGACCCGCAGCTGAATGGGACACTCAACAGATCTCAGTGCAGGAAGCAGAATCTGCTCCATCATGTTTCAGGACTGATAATATTAATCAGAGTGAACCTCCCTATTTGATCAGGATCTTTGGTGTTATTTTAATTAGAGGAAGGTTTTATTTTTCTAACTCGTAGTTTGATTGAGCTCTGCTGCTCCATCTCCCCCCAGATAACAATGAGTTAATAAATAATCGCTGATGATCAGAATCGGAGTCCTGTCTTATTTGTGCTAGATGCTATTTGCGTTCAGGTTAGCTGGAACCCGTAGTTCAACAATTTACCAGGAAATGAACATATTTTTTATTCTTTAAATCCGAAATATTTTTATTTCTGCTTCGTATATCTATTGACATAACTTATTTTAAATTTAGAGGTTTTATGTTTGTAGTGGATGCCGGTGGTATTGCAGCTAAAGCAGGAAGTACTCAGACCAGAAACCGGAAGCTTCAAACGTAGCGGTAGCCCAAGTGGAAAAACTGCAAGTGTACTGGAAAACTAATAAAACCAGAGAGAGCCTGCATTCATCATCATGACGTTTATGTAAGTATAAAGTTCTACTGTTGTTTATAGCGAACAAACTGGGCCTAAACAGCGAGGAACCAGGTAATAAGATCAGAACCGATTCCATTGGTCCGGCAGTGTGAACCCTGACCGCAGCATCCACACACTGTGCGCCCACAAAATCCCCCCGATTAAAAATGCAGAAGTAATGTCAATTATTTCAAAACGGTTTTTGCGAGGTAAAGCAAAGCAAAAAAAATAAATGTGCAATGTCCCCTAGAGGGATCCGTACTTTTCCATCTGCACAGTAATACAATAACCATGTAATGTTTATCACTTGCCTTAAAAGTTCACTTCATTTTTTAGGTTAATTGTTTGATAGTATATTCGTCTATAAAATATTTTTTACAGTAATTTACCCCCATCATCAAAAATTAAATTCTGAAGACTCTTGACGGGTGTGGCCAAGTCTGTTCCTTAATACATTTTATTGGATGTTTGTGGCATAGCTTACTTCAAAATGAAAATCAAAGCAAAAGAACGGCTGGCTGATAAAAGCAAACTTTGTGTTGGTCCTAAGCATTTTATGTTTCAGAAGATTGCTGTGGAAATCCCCTCCTAAAGAAATGACTAAAGTCTTGAGGAACAAATTTGTACCATTGTTTGTTTTCAAGAGCTTCAGTGACCTGCATGTCGATCAGAGAGACTCAAAGGGTGGCTCACATGAAAGCCAAGAGGATTTCCTTTAAGATGATACAAAACACTAAATGTCTGTATTATGAGCCTGAAGCGACATACACCAGGCTGAAAAAACAGAATATATCTGAAGCTTATAGCTATGGCTGCCACTATCACACCAAAATATGATCTACAGGCATGAATATTTAAACAAATACCCGTGTTTGATGCCAGCATTAGTTTATTCCTAGTGGTGAGAAGTTATAGCTCATAGAAAATGAAAAAATATATAAATGTGAATTATTCATAATATCCAGCTATAATATCACAATTATGTTTTTTCTGATGTCATGTAGAAATAGAAAAAATACCTATAAATCAAGAGTCTCAAACTCCAGTCCTCAAGGGCCGCAGGGTGTCCTGAACTTCTAGCCGAGCCTCTGCTGCTGCAGCGGAAAGGAATAAAGAGTCATTAAGGCTCTGGAGATCCGATCCACACCAGGAGGAAATGAAGCCGTTTCATTCCAGCGTTTTGTTCCTGTGGCTCATCTGAAACCTGCAGGACACCTGGAGACCTGGAGTTAGAGACTCCTGCTATAAATACTATAGTTACTCCACATGAATGTGAAGCACAAATTTACATTTTAATACATTTGTTAATAATTAACTTATTGTTTTGTACTTCTGACCCATTTTAATTTTGAAAGTGGCAGTGACACCTAGTGGTGATAAAACAAAACTACATTCACTACAGATTCCTGACCTACGATGACTGCAGCATGTTGCTGAAAAATAGTTCAAGTGTGGATACAAGCATAAAGTGTTGCTCACCCCTCAGATCGTACGGTCCTCATATTTCCCATCAGCCACTTGAGTTTTAGGAGGAACACAATTTTTCAAGATGGCTGCCGTTTTTGACCTTTTTAAACTAATTTTCCAAGTCATTTTCATGACTTGCATGAACTTTATATTATATGACATGTTTTCGATTTTGGTCATCATATTTATACAATATAGTAAAAGCAGAAACTGAGGAGTCTCACAACAGTCATCACCAGGAAGGAAAGAAGATGAGAGACAGTCATCTTAATGGTTAATGTTTAACGTGTCTGGCAGGGTAGCATTTTTACATGTGGTTAGCACTAGTGAAGTTAAGACTCTTGTTAATCAAGTTAGTGGTTAGTGAGTCTAAGTCTTTGATTAGGTGTGCCCTTCACTGGCTATTACTTTTTTGCCAATTTAAGTGGCAAACCTATATTCTCTATTAAAATTATGGCAGCCATTTTGAAAAAGCAAACATAAATTCAAGAAAATACGTATGATGTTGAGATCTAACACCAAACATGTTAATTTAATTGGCAATTTCAGTACAAAAGTTATTTTTCATGGCAACCATCTTGAAAAAAGTCCGCCATCTTGAATTTGTCCGTGTTTTTTTTTTTTTTTTTACAAAAAGCTGATCCTTAGCAACATCTGTGCCAAGTTGTTGGATCCACACGTGAAAAGGTTTTGCAAATATGAAGTATCTGCTGCTCTACGGTGGCTGGAAATGTCCGTAAAGAGCTGGTTTGACCCTCCCTGATTCCCCATCAGACTTTCAGGAACAAACTGCAGGTGGCGCTGTCCATTTAGGATCTGTCCTCTGGAGGTTTACAATCTAGCGTCGCTGACGTCCTCCTCTGTGGTCTGCGCTCTGATTGGTCGTCCAGGTGAAACCGGCCATTCAACATGCCTGCATCTCTCCGCCCTTGTCCGGGCCAAAAGGCGTCCCACTGCTTGGCTCCGCCCCTTCACGCCCGTCTTCTTCCATGTCCACCAGCCTCTGCAGGTACTTGATGTACCTGATGGCGGCGCGCAGCGTCTCCACCTTGCTGAGCCTCTTGTCGGCGCTGTGGCCCGGCAGGTGGTCCCGCAGCTTGGCGTAGCCCTGATTCACGCATTTGACGCGCTGCCGCTCTCGCTCGTTACGCTTCTGGATGAACGCAGGCTCGAACGGAACACTCATAGACGCTGAAGTGCCCATGGTGGTGGAAGGGGGACAGGTAGGCAGGATGCCGGAGGGGCCCCTCAGGGGCCCCTTGTACAGGCTGAGGCAGCGGGTCCACAGCAGGGGGTAGAACAGGAAGGGGACGGAGGCGGACAGAGACTCTGAGTGCTGAGTCCTGCTCCGGTCCTCCCGTCCAGCAGGGGGCGACCCAGCGAAACGGTCGAAGAGCGACTGAGAGAAGGCGGAGCTCATCGTGCAATGGACCAATCAGGGATGAGGACACCTGGCTTGTTCAGAGAAGCTTCATGATGGTCACCTGTGAAGAGACAGAGAGATCAGTTTTTGGCTTCTCCACCAGGGGGCAGACCTGATCTCCGAGGAGGAGAAGATTACCATCACAAAGCGGATAAACGCGACGATGCGTTTTTTTTCCGCCCAAACGAGACCCACATCTATGCCTCCCACAATAAATCAGTAAATTGTGTGATAAACTAAAAGAATGAGCATCTACAGAACGAGGATGCACTGATAAATTGTCATTCTGGGAGATCGGCGATCAGCCGATACTTTAGCGCCAAGCCGATCTCATTCAGGTCTAAAAATCAGCCATTGTTTCCAATACAGCAACTTTCTGCCTATATTTTACATTTCAGACAAAACAAATCAGCATCAGCCAAATTTGGAATTGTTAGTTTCCAGTCAGAAATCTGGAATTCCTATACAGAACCAGAACCCAAAACTGTTTCACCAGGAACCTGCTGGTTCCTCTCCAGAACCTTTGAAACATTTTAAAGCTCATCTGAACCCAAATCAAAAGCATTTCATTTAGGAAAGATTACCTCAGAAATACAATGCAAATCAGAACCAAATGATTGGTTTGTCCTGCTAAATATAAATAGAACCTCACAGAACCTCATAGAACCTCATAGAACCTCACAGAACCTCACAGAACCGCCTGGTGTCTCACCTTCAGATGGAGCTGCAGCAGATCCTCCTTCAGTTCCTCTGGGTCTCTGAGTTCAGGACGGAAAGATCCGACTTTACCTGCTGAAGCTCCGCCCTCACAGTGTGTGTGTGTGTGTGTGTGTGTGTGTGTGTGTGTGTGTGTGTGTGTGTGTGTGTATCAGGTTGGAAACCAAACAGATTTTTTGGAGGTTTTTTTCTGACCTCAACTTTGGTACTGACAAGTCCCAGTGTCACCCAGTGTCTCCCAGTCCTCCCAGTGTCTCCCAGTCCTCCCAGTGTCACCCAGTGTCTCCCAGTCCTCCCAGTGTCTCCCAGTCCTCCCAGTGTCTCCCAGTCCTCCCAGTGTCTCCCAGTCCTCCCAGTATCTCCCAGTGTCTCCCAGTCCTCCCAGTGTCTCCCAGTCCTCCCAGTGTCTCGCAGTCCTCCCAGTGTCTCCCAGTCCTCCCAGTATCTCCCAGTGTCTCCCAGTCCTCCCAGTGTCTCCCAGTCCTCCCAGTGTCTCCCAGTCCTCCCAGTATCTCCCAGTGTCTCCCAGTCCTCCCAGTATCTCCCAGTGTCTCCCAGT